AATTGGTTGTACCTGTGGTTCGGGTGATGGGGCTAAGTGATGGGAGTGGCAGGCAGATTTATATCCCTATGTAAAGGCAAACTACTCATGGGCTGCCCACCAGATCTTGCCCCACACAAACAGGGTGAGCTCAGTGCTAGCAAGCCTTGGGGCAACACTCCTTAGTACCCAACCTAGGACCCTAAAAACAAAAAATAATTCTATTCAAGAACAGAAATGTCTTCCTATAAGAAATGGAGCCACAATTGTTCTTGCTCTTATTCCCCTTGCTCTGTTGACTGGCTGATTGTTTTTATATCATTCCTTCAGTCCGAGCGAGATGTCCAGCTGAAAAACTACATGAGAAATAAAACCAAAACAACAGAGTTTAAGAGTCTATTTGCTAACACTATGGGAAAACCCAAATAGGCTGCCAACTATAATGGTCTATTTCTCAGAGAAGCTATGTGAACTCAGAAAAATTTATGAACTTTAAATGATCCCCAACACTCTATGCTTGAGTGTTACTGACATAGGCCAATTCAGAGGAGGGTAGTTTAGTAGCAGGCTTGGTATGACATACTGCCCAAATCACTGCCTTTATCCAGGGGAAGCTCCCAATATAAAAACAAGATATAAGTACATAAGCAAAATTTCTTTAAAATAGTTCCTGATTTATGATGGTTTGACTTTCAATATTTCAACTTTGCGATCTTTTCCTGGGGTAGCAATATGCAGTACTGATACCCTCTCGTGATGCTGCACAGTGGCGGCGAGTCACAGCTCCCAGTCAGGCACACGATCATGAGGCAAATAATGCATATTCTATAGTGCAGTGTGTTGCCAGCATTTTGGGGATATTGTGTTCACATTTAAGGCAGCTAGGCTAACATATGATGTTTGTTAGATTATGTGTATTAAATACATTTTTGACATGAAAAATTATGATGGGTTTATTAAGATAAAACCCTATCATAAGCAGAGAAGCACCTGTATCCTTAAATTGGGCCTATAGTATTGTAGAAAAATAAAACTTGGCAATTGGTAGTCCTGAGTTCTAGTCCATGTCCATGATCTAGTTCTAGTCCCGTAGAATCATGATTTTGAGCCGCTTTCCTCACTTCTGATATAGTAATAATGGCAGAAGCAAGCAACAATACCAATTATCCAATTACAATAGCAGTATAATACTCACCTCATAGAACTGCTGTACTGATTTAATTTTACATTGCAGTACACGTCAGTTATCAGATTTTTTTATTTAAGCAAAAGGTGGCCATTCTTTATGTTTATGTTATATTAAAAATACAGGGTACACAGGATAATGGAGTCTGGGTTTCAAATGTAAAACTTTTTTTAAATATAAGTACCACCCATTATTGGTTAGGATAAAATTCAGTAAGTATTGGCTTTCTTTAAAAAACAAAAGGGTAGGACACATGATAACATGACAGTCCAAATACTAAATGAGAAGTTATAAAGGAGACCAGAGGTTTTTTCCTTTCTTTCTTTAAAAAAAAAAAAAATATATATATACACACACACACACACACACACACACACACACACACATATATATATATATATATATATATATATATATATATATATATATAAAATTGATTTTGTACGGAGAGGAAGGGAGAGAGATAGAGATCCAGAAACACTGATGAGAGAGAGTCATCGATCAGCTGCCTCTTGCACACCTCCTACTGGGGATATGCCCACAACCAAGGTACATGCCCTTGACCGGAATCGAACCCGGGACCCTTCAGTCCCCGGGCCGACACCCTATCCATTGAGCCAAACCGGTCCCGGCTAGAGGTTTTTTCTTTAAGAATCTAAGATCCCTGGCCTGGCCAGTGTTGTTCAGTGGTTAGAATATTGACCTGCTCACCAAAGGGTCACAGATTTGATCCCGGGCCTAGGACAGTGGAAATTCAGGAGGCAACCAATCCATGTCTCTCTCTTATATCGATGTTTACCTCTCCCCTCCACCTCTTAAAAAAAAAAAATCAATGGAAAAATATCCTGATAGGATTAACAACAACAAAAGAAACTAAGATCCCTATAATGGTGTAAAATAATCATTTCATGATTATTCACATAATATCATAACCTTAATTACTGCAATCCAAATCAAGAATTAGCCAATTTCCTTTGGGTCAAATACCACATTTAAAAAAAATTGCAACATTTAGTGAGAACTCGGAAGTCAAGACCAAAGTATTCTGTAAGACTTCCTGTAGATCTGTGAAACAGCGTTGGCAGACAAGGAGATTAATGAAGATTGTGGAATTTAGCTAACAGCCAGTTCCTTTATTCACCCTCAGTGTGAAATATATGGATTGAAACACAGGGCGGGATTCTGAAATTGGAAAGACACCTGTAAATTTCATTGCTGGGGCTTAGCTGATGGGGTCTACGCAATCTGACCCCTTTACGACTTCCCTCCACTAGTCTTCTACTTCTCTGACCTCATCTGCTGCCACAGCACTTTTATTCATTCAACTCTAGCCAGTTCTCTCCGCTCTAGCCTAGGAATGCTCCCAGGATCTTGCCTTTGTGCTATTACTCACCTTCCCTCCTCCCTGCCTATGATGTTAATCACCAGATAGATGATGGTTCTCTTTCCTTCACTTTCTTCAAATCTTTGCTCAACTGTTGCCTTGACAGTGAGTTTTCCTGTCTGCTCTAATGAAGACTGCAACCCTTCCTTCCCTATTTAACTTTCTCCTAGCACTTATGTGATATACTATACACTGAGTGGCCAGATTATTATCATCTCTGAATGCATAATAATCTGCCACTGTGTGTATCCTATATATAGGAGTTCGACCAGCAGGCAGGTCGGTCAACCGCCCATGTCCCTTCCCCCTGGCCAGGCTGGATGGACCCCACCCATGCACGAATTCATGCATCGGGCCTCTAAAAACAAACACACACACACACACACACACACACACACACACACACACACAGAACAGCCTGATTATTATGCATTCAGAGATCATAATAATCTGGCCACTCAGTGTATATATTTTTAATTATTAGTTCATTTTCATCTTTCCCTCACCAGGTTAAGAGCTTCTATTTTTGCCTGTATGTTCACTGCTGTATTCTAGAACACTGCTTGGCATGTAGCAGATCCTTAATCAATATTTGTTTAATGGAGTGAGTAAATAAACAAATAGGCCACAATGAATGACAAATTGTTCAGTATGTTAGGCTACCAAATTCAAACTGTCAACTTCCTTGAAGAAAGGAGACAACAGGATTTAGGATAATGTGGTTTTAAGAACTTAAGAATGTTATAGATATAAAACAGGCTGGATAAAGAGAAAAGGCATAGTAAGGCTCTTGTGACCTGTTTCCCCCAAAGTGTTCTCTGACCTAAGAATGCCTAACCATCAGCTGACTGCTTGTTGTAGAGATCCCAGGTCTGCGTCCAGAGAGTGATTCTGAGTAGTCCACAGGACATCTTGGGAAACACTGCCTTGGCACCACTCCTGGTTAGATGTGAGACTTAAGAAGGCAGTCTGGCCGAAACCGGTTTGGCTCAGTGGTAGAGCGTCGGTCTGTGGACTGAAAGGTCCCGGGTTCGATTCCGGTCAAGGGCATGTACCTTGGTTGCGGGCACATCCCCAGTAGCGGGTGTGCAAGAGGCAGCTGGTCGATGTTTCTTTCTCATCGATGTTTCTAGCTCTCTATCTCTCTCCCTTCCTCTCTGTAAAAAATCAATAAAATAAAAATAAAATAAAAAAAAAGAAGGCAGTCTGTCCATCCAGTTTACCAAAGCCATTTTAAGTGATACCATGGCATATGAATAAGCACTGACTGTCAACAATTCAGACACGCATGGAAGATAATCCTTTGCACGTGTACACTGTGACTAAAAGGGCTGGTCTCTGTCCCCATCGTAAAGATCTCCTGTGGTGCGTTAGACAGTGTTGCGCCCAGGAATGTTGTTATTCCAGGTAAGAACCTTGGTCCAAGGCCATTAAACCATGTCTATACTAACTAGGTCTAACCCACAGCAAATTCTGGTTTTGCAATACTAGGTATTCACATGGCCTGTTTTATTGTTTTTATAAAGGTCAGACCTATACCATGCTTCAGCCACACAGAAAGCCACACCTCAGATAAGGTATAAAGTATATGACTTACTGGAGTGGCAGTATATACAAAATGAAACCATAATGGCTCCAGATCTGATTGAATAACCAAACAAACCCAGGACCCCCACAACAGAGCTAAATGAGGGGACCCATTCAAAGCCGACATTTTCCCTAACAACTTTTTCTGGATCACTGAACAAAAACACACACACAAAAATCAACACAGGTCTTCTACTTACCTACCATTGAACTGCAGCAGAATTCTGTATCAAGGATGGAACTAACTGTGCAAACAGATGTTTCTTCCAAATCCCAAGGAGTGACCCTAACTCTTAGGCTTTTTACTCAAAGCTTCCAACGTTTTCAAATGTAAAAAAGCTGGTGTTTCCCTCTCCAGGGAAAACATTAGTTGCTGGAATGCCACCATTGGGGGGAGGAGGAGGAAAGTCAATAATATTTTTCTTCCATTTCATACAAATATAGCTCTTTACCTAAGCTTTTTGTCCCATAGCTTAAAATGCTCTTTAAAAGCCTTTGACATAACAGCTGTTGGAATGGGGAAATCACTGGTGAACAAGTTGATTCGCCTACATTCTTGGGAGGTTTCAATTAAGTATTAACTTTAAGCCACGGGACAGAAATCCTCATGGAGGTCTAGGGAATCACTGACCTCAGGAACCCTTAGTGTTATCCCAAACTCATACGGCTCCTTTTTATATGATAGTGTATTGTTATAATAATTCTTGAATGAGTAACTTATTACAAATAATACTAACTTAAAAGACAATTACTACTGGTGTTTTAAATCTGACTCCATTTCTTTCCAGAGAAGTGAGTGTGCTGCTAAGCTCCATTCCACGTACCAACCTGGCGATGGCCACCCAGCTTTCTCAATAAACTCACCTTCTCTCCTTGGAGTGATGGGACCGAGTCCCGCAAACTGTGAAAGCTGTCTTTGATGTGGTCCCTACGCTTTCGTTCCAGTGCATTATGATGAGCCCGTTTGTCAGCCTAGAAGAAAGAGCATATTAGCAACGTCATTCCTTTTGCTTGGTACAGGTGAGTGGGTTATAGCCGGGAAGAATATGCTGTCAGCGCAGTCCCTGGTGAATGGACTGGGAAGGATTTGTTGAGGTGGGCAGTTAGGAATCTCCAGAATTAGGCTCTGCTAAAGGGGGGAAAAAGGGTGAGCAAGCCTTGTGACAGGAACATCCAAAGTAGTTCGATGCATCCAGCTCATGCATAAGTAAAATAAAAGTTATTCAAAGGGACAAAGTGTGACTCTCCTACATCAGTTTTCCCCCTAATTTACTTATGTGACAGAAAAGCCGCCAGTCCATGGTTGGGAGGTTGACCCAGGAAAAGCTCCAGGGGGCCCTTTCATAAGCCGTAATCACCCCCACTGTAAGTCAGCGGTTCCCCATGGTGGGTGCCCAGGACGGGAGTTAGGGCATTGGTGCCCTGCTTCTTTCCATGTGAAACCCATCACCAAGAGTCTGTTCTGGTCTCCAGCTTGCTAAAATTAAAACCTCTGGAAAAACCCGAAAACATGCATCTGTGATCATTCTGACAGCTGATATAAACCCCAACTGCATTCTGAGGTCCGATCTTTTAAAAGTGGATCCAGGGTGCCATCCTGCCAAAGTCTTTCCCTCACACAGCCTGTGACTGAAAGGTCTGAAAAAATATCCTTGGGCACCTGTGGCAGGTGCTTATTTGGCAGCAACTAAATACCCACGAACCAAAGTCTTTATCCACCTTGCTTAGACTCACAAAAAGAACAAGAACAATCAGCTGGAGAGGGGTGAAGACTGCCAACAAATCAGGAATGGCTGGAGAACACTGCAGGTCCCCATTAAAGGTGCCTTCTCTCCGAATGGAACACAAATGCTCCCTCAAGCTGAACAAGAATTGTCTACACCTGAGGAATTATGGAAAATAATATACTTAGAATTTTCCCTTATTATGCAAGGGTGCACTGAGCTAACCTAAGGAGCAAGTATATATAAGGGAAATTCAGGTAGCTTTAATCAACCCAGACAGAGCACCGGGAATTTTAAAAATGGAGTAACAAGAGTAAATAGTCAGCACAAGAAAGCCTCAAATGAATCCTTGCATTAGACAAGATGTGGGAATGAAAGGACTTGAAATTCTATTATCTAATCCTAAAAGTCTGAGTCATTACAGAGGAAGAGGAAGATGGGAGCAGCTGTGGTAATTTTAGTCACTTCCTGGTCTCTCAAGCACAACACCTCACCTATAGCTGTGCTTAGACACATGGTTCCCATCACAGCCTTGGTTCTCCAGAACACAGCACTCACTTTCAGGGCAGATGCATGGAGCATTACTAAGGCCCTCCTAATTTTTTAAAGTCTAAATTCACTATAAAATGAGTGTTTGCTGAACTTCAGTGATATAAAGAATTTATAGGGAATCTGAGAGAAAGATCAAGCTTAGACAGATTCCCTGAGGCAAGAGGTGGTACACTGTATCACACAACATTAGGGCAGAAAATTGCAGATGCCTTGAATAAGCAGTATGAAATAGCTTGAAGGAATGAAACATATTTAAGTGCCTTGTTCTTTTCTAACCTACTGTTCTCTCTAGTCACCTATACAGGTAAGTAAATTCTAACCTGGACTATCTCTACAGAGTTTAAAAGGCTGAGAGATGGCATTTGGCTTCTATCTGCCTCTCCTGTGTTTGCTACATACCCCTTAAGCTCGTTTATTTACATGCAAATTAATCGCCGGCTTTGGTCTCCAGCAGCAGCCCAAGATACTCTGATCTACTAAATCACCCTGATTCCTGGCCCTCCTCCCAGCTTAAGAGCTGGCACAGAAGCAGTGACACCAGAGTTACCCATAATCCCTCTTGTTGATACAAATAAAATTCTAATTGTCTGTTTTCTTTCTGGGAGAGCCCTGCAAATCTCAAAAGGCCAGAATCAAGTGAACTTGGTTTTGCTCAGGCCTACACTAGAGGGATGGAGTTGAGTATAATCTAACACCAAATCCATGCCCACAATACACTACCCCCTTCCCATTCACTGAGCCCTGAAAGGACTCAAATGGACAAGTCTTTCGGTTAGAGGATTGTAAGTGAACTTGGCTGAGGACCATGAGCAGAAATCTTGGCTTCTCATCTGGGGAGCTAGCCAAGTTTGAGAAGTTGGCTCAACAAGGAAAGGCAGCAGTCTACTGCCTGGTAGAAAGCCTGGGCTGGGGACTGTTGTTCTCAAAGTAGTGGATGGAATTTCTGTGGTGGTTCCAGGTCCAATTTAACTAACAGAAGAGTGGAATCTTAGCCCAATCCCTGTTGCCATATCCATCCCCAAGCAGCTACACTTAACCAAAGTCAATTTTAAAGCTCTCAGAGACAACGGCAATGATGTATTTTTCTCCTCCCCAAGCCTCATTTAAAGGAGCAAGTTAAAAATAGGCAGAAAGGGCCCAGGCCAGGTAGGTCAGTTGGTTAGAGTGTCATCCTGATACACCAAGGTTATGGGTTTGATCCCCGGTCAGGGCACACGCAAGAATCAGCCAATGAAAGCATAAGTGGAACTACAACCATGTCTGTCACTCTCTCTCTCAAATCAATCAATAATTTTATTTTATTTTTTAATGTAGAATATGCCTAATTCCAGGCAACTCTAAACTAAGTGATACCTCTACTGGCTTAGAACATATGAAAAACCTTTACACAAAGCAGATAATACTGTTTGGGAAACACTTCCAAACCACAGATCCATCCAGCCAGATAACACTGCTATCCCTCATCCCACAACCAATTCATCCAAATGGAAGGCCAGTTGCCAGGCTTATCACTGCTTTGTTAACTATCTTCACTTGCTGACAACCTTTTTTAATTTTTATTTTTATTGATTTTTTACAAAGAAGAAGAGAAAGGGATAGAGAGTTAGAAACATCAATGAGAGAGAATCATCGATCAGCTGCCTCCTGCACACCCCCCACTGGGGATGTGCCCGCAACCAAGGTACATGCCCACAACCGGAATTGAACATGGGACCTTTCATCCACAGGCCGATGCTCTATCCACTGAGCCAAACCAGTTTCGGCTGGCAACCTTTTATGAAAGGGTCAACGTTTCCGAGTTGAGAATCAAAAACGGGGCTAAGAATCCCAGGATAAGGCATCTGAGATCCTCCTACAAACTTAAAACTAGTTTTGTTTTTAATTTAAAAAGGGCCAAACAATTGTGTCTTGAACAAATAAAGCTCAACTTGGATGAGCCAGCTTTCCCTCACCTGTACTGAAAAAGATATTTGATTATAAAAATGGGTCATACCAAATTCCAGGAGATAACAGAGATATTCTTGGGTAGTATAGCAGGCCCCCAAATACCTCTTCTGTATCCTACAAGAGCAATAGCTGGATGCTGCTGCTTTTCAAGTACAAGGGATCTGTGGTTTCTGCCAGAAAACCCTTCCTTCAGGGCATCCCAAGCTAACAGGAATACTAAAAGGCTGCAAGATACTGAAGAGTGGCCCACAGATGCTCAACAGGAACTCCAGCATCAAATCGCTTCCAGCTTTGACATCTCCGCCAAGGTTTTTATTCCGCCTCTCAGTTTTATTTCCACCAAACTTTCCATACTGGCAGCCAGAATAAAAATCTTCACCTACAATTTGTCCATCTCTGACATTAACAAGCACACGTATCTTAAGTATTGTTAAATGTTGAAAGCAAGCATTATTTTGTTAGCCAAGAAGTTGCTAAACTGGCAGAAAGTCAATCATTCAAGCTAAGGAGGTCTATTCAAAATTGAGGGGAATCTCTTAAAGTTATTTCCTTCCAATTTATTGCATAGAGAATGCATACTCATCCAAGGCATTACATCAGTCAGCAGCCTTATTTTCTGCAAGTTCTGGGTAGGCAAATAGCACGGGAAAATAAATACTCTGTTATTGAAGAATGCACAGGTACTCCAGAATAATGCCATTTCTTGCAGGCTACCTCATACCTAATCCCCTCTATAAGGGGAGTCTTCTCAATCCCAATAGAGAAAATTCTCAGCAAATAGGGAATTAAGAGTTGCCCACTAAACATTTACTAACTTTAAAAAATTTAAAGGTTGCTTTTAGAGGGAAGATAGTGTTGCCTTCGATTTTAATTCTTATTATTAAACAGTAACACTGAAAATACATAGACTCAAAATTCTAATCAGAAAAGATCTATTACCTCTGATAGATGGGAAGAGGACAGAATAAATAAAACTGAATTTCTAAGCAACTCATTGTAATCAACATGAAAAATGCAACATGAAGTAAAATAGGTAGCTAGGATGAGAAACTAAGGTCCTTAATAAGAAACTATAAATTTCAACTTCCCAACACCTCTCCTACTGGAAGCCTGTTATACATTGCTACATCTAATAGATACACGTGTTTTCAAAACTTTCTTAAAACAATCATTTAGTGCCTAAAAGCACTTGGGAACACTATTTCCCAAATATGGCATCATACTGAAGCCATTTAAGAGAGTAAGAATGCCTTCATCAGGAAATTTTAATTGAAAATCAACTTGGATTCCTTGATCAATTATTTCACCATTATTAGCATCTTCGAAACAGAAAAATGTAAGAACACCCTTTATTCTAATGAACAGGCATATTTATGAAACAAACCTGGCATTTCTCTATCACTGTTAACACTCTAGGCAGACACAAAGTACATGCATCATACAGCACTTAACCAAGCAACTAATTCCTGGTAAAACAGACAGTAATTTCCTGAGTCAATTCCGATCTCAGAGGCAACCAAGCTCATTCCCTACTGAATACACTGCAATTCTTAAAGCAAAGAGCTCTGAGATATTAAAAATATTTCATACCAGAAAGATCCAGAAGTGAAATAGCACAAATCTGTTCTTAAACTCCCTGACAGATATAATGTAACTACAACACTGGAGGGTAAGTTGAAAAAGGCCTTGAGTTTTTGATCAACAACTAACCTTACATTTTTAGTATACCTTTGTTCTTTCCAAAAGAAATTTCTCAAATGGAAGTAAAATTAAAAGATCACTTTGCATGAAATATATCTGTCCCAGAAAATTATCTTTAAAATGCAAAATAATAATAAAAATAACATCAGTGGGATTCTGATATATATTAAATTTAATAATAAAAATAGTGTTTGGAGTTACTTCCTTTAACACAGATTGGTCACTGGAGCTGTGTTCCGTTTGCACTGAGGCAACAGAAAAAAAAAATTCGTCAAATTAGTTTCACTTTCTCTTACAGTTAGCTTCACTTCCTAACTATTCTTGTGAAGTACCCTACATTTCCCATGCAGTAAGGCCACAGCTATTGTAATTGACATTAAAAAAATGTTTCTTTTCATGAGGACCCAGCAAAATCTTTCCTAAATAAACTTTTTAAAAGTTCTTCAGTAGTCCTAAATATGCAGTTATTCAGTTCGCATCCTTTTCTGAATGAGGCAAAGCTTAAGAATCGCTTCCCCCTAATAAAAAAATAAATTATATATATATATATATATATATATATGACCTATACTAAATGTAAAGAACTAAATAGATGTTTTCAGAGAAAAATAATGAAATCCTTTTTACCCTACACGTTTATGATAACTGTTTGATATTTGTCTATTGCTTCTTCTCTCCACGCTCCTGTGATACTCCTGTGCCAGATAATATTTGTCTCAGCAAGCAGATGTGTTAAATTAAAAAAAGGTCAAGCCCACTCTCTTTGCCCACTTCCCCAAATCAAAGGGAAAAACCCTAAGCACCTTAACATCAAACTAAAAATATCTAGACAAAACAATGAGATTAGCATTCTAGGAGAATGGAAACATTTTAATAATTTAACAAAGCACTTTACATCAACACCCATCAAGTCAAAATTTCACAAAGAAAACTTTTCTCTCATTGGAAAGCCAATGTAATTCCAATTCAAGTAATGATTCTGCAAAGGCTACTTAACCCATCCCTATTCTCCAACCATGATCAACTCCAGGGGAAACTTTAGGACTAGAGACTTGGAGAAAGAAATGTTTTAAATAGACTGAGTTCCAAACATGAAACTCCACATTCTCATGATTAAGGTTAATAGTAACTGAGGGGGAAAAAAAAAAAAAAAAAAGGAACTGAATTTTCAAATATATGCATAAAATTTAGTATCTGACAATACTTCAAGGAGAAATAAAATGAATTCTTTCATAGTGACTATTATCCAGGGACAATTTTTAAGAACCCTGGAACAAGTGCATCCTTGGATTTTATGGAAATATTAGCTCTCAATAAATAAAATTTTTCTTAATGCCTATATGCTTGGACAAATGGCAGAATCCTTGCTTGCTCTAATGAAGGTACAAGTAAGAAGGCTTGCTTTTATCCTGTGGTAATTAAATTCTTTGACCAGAGGTATCCTACAAATTCTTAACAAGCCCTCCAAACAAAGGGATCATCCCACACATCATTTTGAAAATCAGAAAAGTAACATACTAAAGGATTTCTAATCTTTCTTTAAAAATAGGAAGATCTGGCAACAATGAGCCCTCCTTCCTACATAACCCACTGGAGTTTAGCGGCTGCCTTTTTAGAAGAGGCATGTGTTCTCCAGTATCCTAGTCTTGACCTCTAGTCTCTCCTTTATTCTTGACTGTCTTATTGCCTGGCTTCTCCAGAGGCATCAACCCCCATTCTATATACTTCTTACTGTTCCCAGCTATCAAATACTAGACAGTGATACTTATTTCTCTTCCCTTCTCTGATTATGATTTGTTTATTCTAACATATTCATGGAATAACCACAGCTCTGTTTCCAAACACCTAAGATTAGTGCATATCTATAGCTATACTCATAGATATAGCCATAAAACCACCTTCTGAGAACATCAATATCAAAACCCTGAGAAATTATTGCTAACACTGCCCAGTCTCAACAATCAGCCTTCAGCAAAACTCTCTCTGCAACGCCAATTTCCTTCCACAATTTTTGTTTCCTTTATACCCTCCTTCACCTCAGATACACTCAGACCACCATAAGCTGTCTGCGACACTTCCATATTCAACCATTGGCTCCTCTACATTTCCAACTTCTGCATTAGTATAATGCCACCTTATCCTAGATTCTACAGGTCTACAGCAGTCACATGACTTTCGGTGACTGTCACGTGGCTTCAGTTTGACACAACTTTGTAACTATGCTTTAGAACCTATTTGTTCCAAAGTAAATCTTCTGACCATTCTGCTCTGAAATAGCACCACAGTTCACTTCAGGATGATGTACTTCACATTTCCGACACCACAAGAGTGACAGCTAGATTCCCCCACCTGAAAACTACAGAATGATTCATTTATTGGCATACAGCTCCTCTCACCCACAGTCACTGGAACTTATCGCCTGAGAATCTAGAATTATGAGATTTGTAACCCCTCCCCAACCTAGAACCCCAGAGCAAGGCTCCACCTCACCTTAGCGGTTAGCAGGAAAGTTTACTACAATATTAAAAGTAATAGAGTGATCTTTTTTCTCTCTGACCCCAAAAAGGACAAGAACTGAACGGAAATGAAAATGAAATGGAGAGTAGGAGACGTACCGCAGATTGAAACCTCGGTTGCTCTTCCTGGAATAAGAGAGAAAAAAAAAATAGAAAATATAGAAGTTATTTTTACACTTCGCATTCAATAATAAGAAAGAAAATGCCGGCGGCGGAGGAAGCGACGGGTGGGGAGTCAGCCCGAACCCCCCTCCCCCCACTTCTTTGCCCCACACCTTCTCCCCAGCGGGATCCGGTGGCGGGACAGGGGGTCCCGAGCGCCGCCCCTTCTTCCGGGATCCGACCCAGGCCGGAGGGGGTCAGAGCACCGTCTCCTGCCCTCGGACCCAACTGGGCCGTCGGGGCGCTCCCAACCCTTCTACGTCCACCCTCATCCCCGCCCCCCCCAGGGATCCGCGGGTCAAGGGAGGAGGGGGTCGCGGAACGAAGGGGCAGGTCCTGAGAGCCGTCCCTTTCCCCAGAATCCGGACAATGGGATCCGGGGCGCACCCCGTCCCCCGTCACCGGAGCGGGATCAGGTGGGGGCGGGAGGCCGCAGCACCCTCCGCCGCGGGAGAAGTGGGGATCCCAGAGGCCGCACGTCTCCTCCCCACCTCCCGTCTCAGAAGGCCGCTCGGCTGGGAGCCCGGAGGAGAGCGAGCCAGGAGGGCGACGGAGGCGGCCCCAGCCCGAGGGTGGGAGGCCGGCGGCGGCTGCCCGGCCCCCCGCCGCAGTGGCCCCGCCGAGAGCCCGGGCCGCTGTCCCTGCCGTCCCCGCCTGACAACCCCCAAGGGAAGGAAGAAACCCCGGGACTCACGTCGCTCTCCACCTCGATGTCATCGTTATCGCTCATTTCCTACGGCCCAGGGAGCGGCCACTGCAGCAGCGGCGGGGAAGGGGGAAGGGTGGAGGGGAGGGGGAAGTCACCGACAACAAGCAAGTCCCCCCACACACTCACTCACTCACTCGCTCTCTCACTCACTCACACACTCACTCACACACACACTCACTCACACACACACAACACGGGCGAGAACCACCTCCTCACTGCAGCACCGGATCAACGGCGGCACGCACGCCCGGCCGGCCCCCTGACACGTGACCGGGCTCGTCACGCTGGGGCCACCGAGACTTGTAGTTCCTGTTCCTTTCGCCGACGGCCCAACGAGCGCCAGAAAAACTACGACTCCCATAAGGAGCTGCATCTGGTTGTCGCCAGTCCAGCTTGCGAAGGGAACCCAGAGCGCCTGCGTATCCTGTGGAGGAGGGCGGGGACAGAAGCGCCGCGGTGCCTGCTGGGAGTCGTAGTCCGTTGACCGCGAGTTGTCAGGAGGTTTCCTCCCTAGGCAGCTGCGGAGGCTGCTGGGAAGACAGGACACGTGGAGTGAGCTGGGGCTCCTGAAGCCGGGCGCCTTATGAGTGCTGGGCGCTGGGCCCAGGGGACAGGGTGGAGACTCTGGGAGAGTAGCCGGCTGCCTAAATAACGCTGCCTCTCCTTGGTACGAGTGGTTTTACTTTTTTTTTTTTTTTTTTTTTTTTGTGCTCTGAGTGGCTCTGCATTGCGTCCTGGGGCGTAACCGCCAGCTCGGGGGCGGGGGATGCAGGTGGGGGTGGGGGTGAATCCAGAGGCGGCGGAGGACTTGGGGGCGCGGCTTCGGGTGCACACGCGAGGACCCTGGGGATTTGGCTGTGGGGAGGTGCCAATGGCAGGTGTTAAGTAGTGTTACAAGATAGGCAGGGTGACCCGCCTCGCTGAAGGACAGCTCCCAGACGTGATAATCTTGTATTTATTAATTGGAACTGATCGTCTTGCTACTCTTTTACATACACAGACATCCTTTTCCTCCACCCCCGCGCCAACAACTGTTTATGTGGAAGTAAAAGCCTCTCCTGAGTTTGTTGTGGCCCAGGCCGGGTAAGGAGCGGCCCAGCAGTTTGCAGTACCGTAATTAAGAATTGCAGAAAGTATCCAAAAACAGTGACCGCGTAAGAAATGTCCAAACCTAGAGAGAATTTTTTTTCTAAGAGTTTATTTGAGCCAAACTGACAACACATGCCAGGGAGCAAGATCCCAAAGCTTTAGGGAATACGTTTTTGTTTTTGTTTTTCAGTGTCCTTTGTGCATTTGGGATAAGGCGATAACGCAAAGATTACATGAAAATGGGGGAAAGTGAGTTGGGGATTGGATTGCAGGATAGTTCAACTCACACTTTAAAAGGAGAGGTCTGAAAGGGGGCTTTTCAAAGGTATGTTAACCTAGACACATCTACGGCAATACCACCCTGAACGCACCCGATCTCGTCTGTTAACCTAGACGCAAGAAACAATGGGCAGGGCTTGCTTAAGGGAAGGCGAAGCCTTTTACTAAAGAAGTTATATGCCGGGGCATGACCTTCCCAGTTAGGAATTTTTTATCAGATCCTCCTGTGAGGTTACTTTCCATAGAAGCCCTTCTTCCACCCACAACAGGAAAGCTGTGCAGTTAAATTCATATTTAAATACTGTGGCATGAGGTGTGATCATATCCATTCCATCACTATTATTGAACACCTAACATGTGCCAGCACTGGGATGCCATACTGGATAAGACTGGAACAGTCCCAGCCTTCATGTTGCTCACAGCTGTGGAAACAAAAATTAAAATGCCCTGCCACCATTTTAATAGTGAACATCAAGTCCCACAGGAAGAAAAAACAATAACGAGTCGCTTTCAGCCCTGACATAAACAGAGTAGCAAAACTACTTTTACATCTGGTCTCCAAAATGAATGAAATCTTGAGCTTTTTCCATAAATTACTGAATTTCTAATGAAAACCATTCTATCTCCGACATTTGAATCCAGAAACTTGGACTCTGTCACATTTATATTTCTTTGTATTGTATTTCTTTTGTATTCTGTTGTGTCTCTTATTCAGTGATCCAATCCTATTGAAGTTTGCAGGTCTTTACAAGTAATCAGTCATCTTCTCTAAATGCTTTTGTCTCTTAGTCATCTTTCACACTAAGTGGGAGAGATAGGCATAAGTAGGACAGTACGTTATAAGAACTGATGGGCTATAAGGGAGACAGGGAAGGTAGCTCTTGGGTGAGTTAATTTAGCTGGATATTAGAAGTTAGGTCTTATTCATGATTGCAACCAACAATTACTGGGTGCCAGTTAGGTGCAAAGCACTACAGGGCAATCCTGGCTACAAGTTAAAAATCACTCCAGGGCTATTAAAAAGTTCAATACCCTGGCTGTGCCCCAAACCAATTAAGTCAGAACCTCTGGGGATGAGGACCAGGCAGCAGAATTTTTTAAAGCTCTGCAGGTGATTCCAATGTGCAACCAAGATGGAAAACCACTGCTGCCAAGGATCCAAGGTAAATAAAACAATCTTCCACTGAATCGTATACTTTACAAGAGTGAATTTTATGGTTTGTCAATAATTATATGTCAATAAAGCAGTTATATAAAAGTAGGGTAATCGTTGCCCACCCAAAATCCAAAACCTGATAGGGTTGTAAATTATGAATACAAATAACTGCAATGAAGATAGACTAACTGCTAACTTAGCTGCACAGGCAGTGAATGCTATAAGAGCTCAGAGAAGGGAGACATGTTTCCAGGTCTGAGGTGGGGTGGGGAGAGGTTGGTGATCAGGTAAGTCTTCTTAGGCTGTCAGGTCCATCAGGGCAAAAGTGGGGTCTGCAGAGACCCGGTCCAGATTTGGTGAACATGAATCCCCAATTGTTGGATGGAGGCCTGAGGAGGTGGCAGAAGTGCAGAGGGAAAACTTTCCAGGTAGAGAGCCTGGAGGTTTTAACACATTTCTTCTTAGTAAATTGATAGAATATGAAGACCCATCAACCCAGGTAATAAATTTCACCTAAGAGACATAAAACATGTCACCCAACAATTGTAGAATTTGTTCTTTTCAAGCTGTCAGGAAACATTGACACAACTGATCATGTTCTGAGCCATAAAGCAAATATCAACAAATTTCAAAGGACTGTGATCTTAGCAAGTTCTTGCACTTAATGCAATTAAAGTAGAAATAACTAAAAGATAACTAGAAAATCCTCATACATTTGGAACTTAAGAAACACCTTTAAAAAATATGTTTGTATTAATTTTAGAGAGAGAGAGGGAGAGAACCATCAATGAGAGAGAAATGTCAATTGGCTGCCTCCTACATGCTCTCTTCAGTGGATTGAATGGGAGGATGCTCAAGCAACTGACCATACTGGCCAGGGCAGGAAACACATAAGTGACTCAAATGGAGGGACTTCCATGAGCAAGGCATACTCACAGAGAAGAATTAGACATATGAGAAATGTCCTCTAATTTTCCTTTTCAGTATTTTTCTGATATAAATAATAATCTAGGATCCTAAGAATTCATTTTCACCTCTGCATGCTTGAATGTCTTTGGGAAAGCTCTATATGAGCTTATCAAGACTGGGTCTGTCTCAGGGCTGCCCAATCTAGCCCCTTGCTACTCTAAGCTTGGTCCAGTGGTATCCACATCACCAGGGTGCTTGTTAGAAATAAAGGATTCACCCAAGACCTACTAAAACCGGTTTGGCTCAGTGGATAGAGCGTCTGTCTGCGGACTGAAAAAGTCCCAGGTTCGATTCCAGTCAAGGGCATGTACATTGGTTGCGGGCACATCCCCAGTAGGGGTGCAGGAGGCAGCTGGTCGATGTTTCTCTCTCATCGATGTTTCTAGCTCTCTATCCCTCTCTCTTCCTCTCTGTAAAAAATCAATAAAATATATTTAAAAATAAATAAATAAAATAAAATAGACCTGCATTGTAACAATATGCCCAAGTGATTCATATGTGCATTTGAGAGGCTCTGATGAGAAAGGAAGGGGGACCTTAAGTGGGGAGGACAAAGCAACTGACTCCATTTACTCCTCAGCTCTTTCATAAGTTGGCTTCCATTCTACCACTTGACTGAAATCACTCTTATCCTGGCCATGAGCTGCCTCTTTATTGCTAACTCCAAAGCCCTTACTTGATCTGACACTGGCCTTCTGCACAGTTGACCACTCGTCTTTTTGAAGGCCAAGGACACTTCTTCTTTCCTCCTATCTCCATAGCTGCTGCTTCTCTGTCTCCTCTGGTGCCTCTTGCCCAGTCAGTGTTTGAGCTTCAGGGATTCTGATGGCCCTCTCTCTTCCCTTCCCAGGCTCAACGTAGTGGCCTCCTCTGCCTCCTGAAGCTTTGGTGGCTGTCTCTCTGATGGCGACCCCAAGACAGAATCTCTCTCTGTTGAACTCTAAATTATTATGTTCAATTTTTTTTTTTCTGGACAGATCTACATAGATTAATTCCCAGGCAACTCAAAACTCGAGTCTTATGGGTGAATAAGAAAAAGTAGGTTTGACAGCCTTGGCTAGTGTGCTTAAATGGTTAGAGTGTCCTCGCATTGAAGGGTCTCAAGGTTCATTTTTCCAATCAAGGCATATGAAGGTTTGTTCAGACTCAGCCCAGTTGGGGTGAGTGCATGAAACAACCAATCAATGTGTCTATCACATCGTTGTTTCTCTCTTGCTCTTGCTCTCTCCCCTTTCTCTTCCCCTCCCTCCTTCTCTCCCTCCCTTCCACTCTCTCTAAAAAATATCAATGGGAAAAAATACCATAAGGTGAGGATTAACAACAACAACAAAAAAAGTAGGTTTGACACAGCATTTGGACTGTGATTCATTCATATAAAACTGAACATATCTGTTCAAGTATTTGCATGTAGAGAAATGTGTAGAAGGCTATTCAGCAAAAATTTAATAGCATTTGTCTCTGGGAGGTGGAATTCCCAATGATATTTCTTTTTCTTTTCTATTTTTTAAAAAAATATATTTTATTGATTTTTTACAGAGAGGAAGAGAGAGGGATAGAGCATTAAAAACATCGATGTGAGAGAATCATCAATCAGCTGCCTCTTGCACACCCCCTGCTGGGGATGTGCCAGCAACCAAGGTACATGCCCTTGACTGGAATCAAACCCGGGACCTTTCAGATGAGATCGGGCTCGTTCAGGGTGGTATGGCCGTAGACAAACCCGGGACCTTTCAGTCTGCAGGCCGACGCTCTATCCACTGAGCCAAATCTGTTTCGGTTCTTTTTCTTTTCTTTTCTTTTCTTTTCTTTTCTTTTCTTTTCTTTCTTTCTTTCTTTTTTTTTTTAAATATATTTTATTGATTTTTTTTTTTTTTTTTTTT